CTTGTCAATCTGAAAAAAATAACGATAGATAAAAACAGATCAACAAACAGCGAAAGAAAGCAAAGCAACAAGCATTTGCTCTAGATAAGAAGTTAAAAACAGAACAGAACAAAGATAGCCGGTTATTTTGCAAGTAGCACAGAATGTTCCGACCAGTCTTAAAAAATTACAACAAAAATATTTTTCAATTTGACTCGTTTTTTCGGCTTGGTGTGGTAAAGGAATCTGAGCGAAAATGTAGAGCTTAGGCATTTGCGTCAGTCATGTACCACACCCAAATACATGGTCGGAACAACAATAAGCATTGCAACGGTTGTCTGGGAAAAATCAGATATCGATCAAGCTCCCTTCGGAGAAAAAGGTATTTTTCTTGGGTAAATTATTGAGCAATGAGTTAGATGGGGCTTGAATTAAAAAAAAACATGATCAAATATCACTAGGTTTTTTTGCCAGTAGACGGGGAAAGCTGAGAAAAAGTCCATTCTCTTTATTCTCTCTATTCTGTCGATTCTCCTGAAAAATACCTGTTTTGTAATCAAAGAAGTCCTCGCATAGTACCTTAGACTCATAGTAATAGGTTTTGTAGTTTGCCGTCTTCGGTGCTGTGAACTGCAGACCCCTCTGCCCCCCTCCATTTGCCCCCCTCGATCTGTACTTTATGAAATGAGGCCGATACTTGAACGCACCACAACCAGTTATGTACAAGAAACAACACACGAAGAGCGTGGCTAAAATACAACTTCGTAATTTCATCGCCATTATTGAAGTTGTCAAATAAAGATTTCTTCAGTTGTAAATGAACGAGTGACTGAAATAATGAAGATATGGTTTCAGATTACTTTTGTCATTCTAAACACACATCCGCTCAAAGTGGCATATCAATTATTCAACTCGGATTCGTTATTTTGATGCTGCATGGCCATTCAAAGAATTCTAAGAATATCAAGGCAAATTTTGGTCCCAAAGAAATAAAAGCAAACAAAATCGGTTTGCTACTAAATTATATCTTTCGAGGGTATAAAGTAAACAGGGTACCAATTCTGGGGCTATTTCGGGGTCGAAATTTTGCCTGTATTTTCCATGTGAAGGTGGCAAATAAAGTGAAGTTTTACTGCGATTATTTTCACGAAAGATTAGCCCAATGTAGCCCAACTTTGAAATCTTAATTTTTTGTTTTACCTCTTTATTACAAATCCTTGAAGCTATTTTATATTTTACAATTTGTATCAAGGTTATATGAGACCAGTCTTGAGAAATACGGGCCAAATGAGGTAACATTTTTAAAAATTGGGCTTATTCAAACCAATTTACCCATAATTTAGGCTCTTCGGTAAAATTTCCCCCAAACAAAAAAAAATCAAAATATGAAATGAGCAACAACCAGATTTTGCAAAATGATTTCTACAAGAAAGTAGATGTCTGGTGGACTGATGACATAGATGGAGATCGTAATCGTTTTTTTGTGGTAAAAAAAATTCTGTAATTGTGCTAAAAATTAGAGAGGTGACTTGTAATTGTGCTAAAAATTAGAGAGGTGACTGCAAAAAAGATGAAGATTGTCAGATATATGAGCAATGCCTTCATTCACAAGAGTTGATTTGATCAACAAGCAACTGACCTATAAAACTCTTATGAAACAAAATATGAATACAAAAAAAAGATCAATTGAATGTTTGCTCTCAGTTTAATCATGTCCCAGATTCTCGTTTTGAAAAAAAAAACATAATTCGATGGACTATCAAAAAAAACTGCCTGTAATATATATTTTATAAACAAATATAAATAACTTTTTAAAATTAATTTGGGCTTTTTCTCAATTTTGGTACATTAAATTATTTTCTTTTTTTAAGATGTCATCACTGAAGAGATATGGGAGTGAAAAGTGAAGACTGTGCTGACTCTTACACATGCATAAACGCATCAAGATTTTGTAGAATATGCAGGGTCTTGTATTGTATCAAATGCTCTATAAATATTAACCATACATATAAGTCAAACAAAGATAGCCGGCTACTGTGCAAGTAGTACAGAATGTTCCGAACAGTCTTAAAATATTTTAAAAGTTTTCAAATTAGTGTCGTTTTTTTTGTGCACGGTGTGATAATTAGATCTAGACAAAAAAGAAAACTTGGGCATATTCGGCAGTCATAGTGAAATAGGTCAAATGGAAAACAATTTTTTCTTAGAAAAATGACTAGAAAAACAAACAAAAAGTGTAAAATAAATTTAAAAATTTCAAATTTTTTCTGGATTAATTTTTTCTAACGGACATTGATTTTTTTCTTCCAAAAATGGCTCTAAAAATTACAAAATTTAATTTTACTCGTTTTCATGGCTTAGGTTAAGCATAAATAAGCTATTGCAAACCTGGACGCTCACTTTATTAGCTCAAAATTAGAATAAAATCAAAGATTTCAATTGTGGGTTTTTCTTGACACTGGGAAAAATTTTAAGAAATTTTAAAATGTCGTTCGAATTCCGACTAAAGGGGTTCAATATGATATACCACTCAATTAAATCCGAGGTTTTTTTGTGATACCTCATTTAGCGTGGAAAAAAATTAAAACAACCCGAACACCGAGTTCCTTCACATTTTTCAAAACGGTCGGAACAATAACTGAAATATCATATCAAGAAGAAACATTCCAGTGGTAATTGTGTTTTCTTCATTATTCAAAAAACAAAACTCAAAGCTGTCAAAAGTACGCAGACAAGTTAGAATCAATAACAACCTGCATATGTACCAAAAAAGCTAAATTTTTTGAGATAGTTTTTAAAATCTAGGATACACAGGATAAATTAGTAGAAAAATTAATATACTTGATCAATTTTTCAGAAAGACTTTTTTGCTGTGAACAAAGATAAAAAGTCCAAGACAATCGATGAAATTATATCAAAAATTGAGAAAACAATAACCAAATATCACACAAAAATGTTTTCATGATAATAGCGGTTTTTTTAGCCAGAGCATTCACTATCGCATGGTTGACTTTAAAAAAACTACCGTTGGGTTCAAACTATCGTGATATTCACTTTTCATACTAATTAATCAATCTAGTCGGCGTAGGAAACGGCAAGGGGGTCAAATTTTGTCAATACGGGAACTACACTGTGTTTAATTTTTGATAAGATAGCAATATAAAGTGATTGAAAAAAAAAGTTAATTAAATGCCAATTTTTGATGAATTAGGTGTAATAAAACGCAAAGAAACGTAATTGTTCCGACTTTCAATACAAAAGTAACGGAATAATTGTGCACGGGGTGGGTTTTTTTTCTTCAGACAATATTCGACTTTTTAACTAGCCATCTTTGACGGAATTTTCCTATATAATTCGAAAGGTAATGTTGTCCTGAGCTCAAAGTTGAAAAGACATTTCACCTGTGATCATTTTTTGTAAACTTACGTGGGTTTAAAGACCGCCATTTTGGCCAATTTGGGACAATTAACGCGCGATATTTTTCGCGCTATTAACGCGTAAGCGGAGAGTGAATTCGTATTAGAAATCGTTCCAAATTTGTTGAAAGAAGCTTATTTGCCATAATTATTTTGTTACAAGGAGCAAAATCTATCATTTTGTATTTTATATGGCGTATGGGGGGATGATTTTCATTTTAAAAATTTCATTTTGTTTTATTACACTTAATTTTTTAATGTTATTATCGCTCCTTAAACCCTAAAAGGCAGTCGGAACATTAAGGAATTCGCCCTGATACGAGCACTCTTGTTTTAATTTAATTTTGTTTTAACTATAAATAGGTGGAATGAGCAGCATATTCTCAGAACAGAAATTGAAATTTGGTTTATTGTTCTGACTGTCGTAGCGAAGGTAACGGAATAATTGTGCTCGAGGTTGGTTTTTTTTTCTTCAGACAAATTTCGACGTTTTAACTAGCCATTTTTGACGGGATTCTTTTTGTATCATTCAAAAAATATTGTTGCCTGAGCTTAAATTTAGAAAGATATTTCACCTGTGATTATTTTTCCTAAAGTTATGGGGATTTAAAAATTGCCATGTTGGCCAATTGGGACAATTAACGAGCGATATAATTCGCGCTATTAACGCGTAATCGGAGATTTAATCCGTCAAAGAAATCGTTCCAAATTGGTTGAAGGAAGCTTATTTGCCATCATTGATTTGTTACTAGGAGCGAAATTTATCACTTTGTACTTAACATGGCGTGTGGGGAATGTTTTCACAAAAAAAATCTCAATTTTTTTTTTAATTTTTCAATTTTATTTTATTACATTTAAAATTTTCATGTTCTTGGTGTTCCATAGACCTTAAAAGGCAGTCGGAACATTCAGGGCTTTGCCCTGATACGATTAGTCTTGCTGTAGTTATTTTCATTTATTTATTACACTTTTCAAAAAGTTGGTAGTAAGGCTGTGCTGGTAACTTATTTTCAATTTTGCGATAAATAAAGTCTAACAAATTTTTAAACTTTTAAACTTTCGAACTTTTAAATTTTCAAAACAATTGCTCCAAAATGATTTGCTCTAGAGACACTTGATAAAATTTATCTAGTATTTGAATTTACAGAAAGATGCCATTTCATTGACAGAATTCATCAGAGCCAACTTTCCTTTTGCCGGAAACTTGTCCTCTTTTGAAATGCCTTTTCTTTATTTCTGTTTTTTTGAGTTAAACGTAATGCATGCTTGATTGAAATTGAAGATGGAATGTGAAGCACTCAACAAGAAACTGAGGTTCTGGAACGTGTGTTAAACTTCCATGTGTTCAAATTAGTCACGATAATAAGCTGTTTCAAAAAAAAACTTAATAAAATTTGAACAATTTTGAGCTAACAATTTTTTTGGTGAAAACAAAGGTCTTAGGACTTAAGTTTTGATTTTTTGTCGCCTTCGATTGCACCAAAACTATCTCTTTTAGAAAACTAAGAGAAAAATCAAAAATGAGCACTTAAATTGTTATAGAGTAGATTGTCTACTGCTGACAAGTTTGCATCAATTTCACTATCTTTCCATTCAAGTTGATAATTAATGTTCTCAGGTTTATAATTGTTTGCTCATTACGAGGCCAAACTGTGCACTGGATAGGCGCACACTTTTGTGTCTGTATGTTCCTGGATTCAAGAGACAAGTCTTTAAATATGATCCAAAATGTAAGTGGATTCGACAAACAAAATTTCAGTGGATTCCGCATACATATACCTGTAACGTAAATTTTGTCGGCATATTTATTTTGTTGCGGATTCATCAAGAAGCTAATATAGCTAGTTGTTCTGGATTCCGCAACTGTAAGTGAATGCCGCAAAATGTAAGTGGAATCCGGAAATGTAAGTGGAATCCGGATTTTTGTTTGTTACTGAACTTGCATATGAACAATTAAAAGCTAGAGGTGCAATATTTGATTTATTATCTATAGGAACGCGCCATTTGAAAGCAAGGACTTATCCATTTGTCAGTGGAATCCACAAACGAATCTTAAATCATTGGTTAACTATGCGGATGTCAAATCTTTCTTTTTCGGATGGTTTTTGGGATCGGAAAATGCAATCAATGAAAGCCATTTAGGGCTTGTGATGGTTTGAGATGTCTGTTCAGGGTTTGAAATGGCAGTTCATGTTTGAAATGGGGGCAGTTAAGTCACTCATCAGTATTTGAGATGAGATGGATCAGTTATGGTTAAGAAATCATCATCAGTATTTGAGATGAGATGGATCAGTTTGAAATGGCAGCTAAGTCACTCATCAATTTTTGAGATGAGATGGTTCAGTTGGTTCACAAATTATCATTGCACTTATCAGTATTTGAGATGAGATGGATCAGTATTTGAGATGAGATGGTTCAGTATTTGAGACGAGATAAAAGACGGCTCGATTGTATTTTTTAAAAGCTGAATTGAAATGTCCTCTGAAA